AGGAAACGCCCAATGCGAGCGATTCAATAGAACGATGCACGATATGCTAAGAACTTTGTCGCCAGAGACAAAACGCAATTGGAAGGAAGTCCCGCACTGCACTTGTCAGACCAGGTGATCGGGTACTGCTGAGGAAACATCGGACAAAGGGAAGGTAGCTAAGGTACCTAGTGGTCCAGCAGAACCACCCTGACTTACCAGTGTTCACCGTCAGGCCAGAAACTGGGGGGACATCAAAAGTAGTGCACCGAAATCAGGTGAAACATTGCATTTTTCAGACACCAGTTACAGAAGCAGTTACCCCCATGCGCAAGAGAGCTACATCCGGTTCAGACACTGATCCTGTAGGGTTAGTTTATATTCCTTAAGTCTAAAATGATCCTTTACTTTTGTTGTCTTTGTTTTGGTTTTTGCCATGTAAAGAAAAAAGGTTGAAATTATGTGTGCTGCAGGAGTGTTTATAGTTATTCAGTGCAATACCTTGCATTTGTTCTGTTAATGCCTGAGTTCTTATTTTCTTACTATGCCCCTGGGGGTAAGTGGGGGAGTCTCTGGTGCGGCAGGGTTCGAAGGGGGGGAATGTAGCAGGTACGAGATATACGTCTATTGTTTATCTCTCTGCCTTTAATACTACTTTCCGCTGAAGTCTTGACCGCAGCGAATCAGCAGGTGGAAAAACAGGAAGGGAAGAGAGTGGGAGGAACAGGAGAGAACGGATGGCAGCTGCTTGACCCAGCAGAAACGGAGCAAAAACCATGACGTTTAAAACCCGACTTCACTTAGCGTTAACGACACAAGGTGATTGCCGTTTGCCTTTGGAGTGTGTAGCCGTTCGAGATGCTCAAGCGAGCTACCAGCTCGAACCAGGACAGTTTTATTTGGCTAGTATATTTTATTTGATACTTTGCGGACTCAGAGAACGGGATTTGAGCCGTAAGGCTGTTGGACATTTCCACTTGGAACAAGGTACTGTTCTTGTTTAGAATGAACCATTTTTCTGATTAAAGCAACTACTGAGTGTGGGGACACTAGTCAGTGACATTCATTGTGTACTGTCTTTGATCACTGCTGTTAGTTTTCCTGTGTGATTCTACATTATTCATTATACAACCAGAACTGTGAGGAGTGATTTAGGGTAACCAACACATTCTTATACACGTTGTATTTGTTCATTTATTTTTCTAGTGCAATTCCACAGAGCACCTCCAAACATACCCTAATATTTTAATATTTAAACACTGAAGGGCACTCCAGTTAATCGCTCAATACCGGAGGAGAGTAGTGGGACAACTACAATAGGTGGAGAGTTACGTAGTTAGAATTGAAGGGGACCATTCGAATGGTCAAAGAAAGGTATAAACTAATGTGTTGTACCATCACATTACATTTATATGTCATTTAACTGAAGCTTTTATCCTATGTGACTTACAATAAATGCATTCAACCATCGGGATACAAAATCAGAAGAGCAACAAACAAGAAAGTGCAATTTCCTCAAATAAGCCAATTTACAATGTGCTATAGAGAAGTGGCATTATAAGTACAATTTAAGTGCTACAATTTGTAAGTCTTTTACCTCACCTCATAGTCCTAATCTTAGTGTCTTTCCGGAAAGAGCTTGGTTTATTTGAGCGTTGTTTCTCCAATAAATCTCCAGTGAATTCTATTGGTGTGTGTTACTGAAAGTCCCTGGTCTTTAAAGGATGTGTGGGCCCTCATCACGAGTCAGATAGATGAAGTCAACGAATTTGATAATAATTAAAAAATAGTTAAAACTACAAATAAATGAATCCACAACAACCTTGACTTTATCTGTCTTACTCCAGAGAAGACTGTATGCAAGCTCTGATTCTGGACAAATCCATACCAATATTTTGTCAAGGGGTGCGTGGGAAGGCAGGACTCAAACGCAGAGTTCAAAAACAAAAGGACTTTAATAGTCAAAACGGGCAAAAACACACAGGAACTAAGGGCAAAAAGGCAGACAGGAACGAGAGGCAGGCGGGACGATTGACAGGGACATGCGTGACAAAAGACAACAAGTGACAACAGACACACATGGCCTAAAAACACTAGGGAGGTGCAGGTGATTGGACACCGGTGGAAACAATCATGACATGACAGACAATCACAGAGGAGGACAGGACAAGGCAGGAAGTGACATGACCCAGGGAGAACAGAGGCAAGAAACTACAAAATAAAACCAGACATTAACCCAAACCGTGACAGAACTCCCCCCTCAAGGGCCAAACTCCAAATGGCCCTAACCTGACCAGGAACAGACAAGGGGCGGGAGGGAAACCAGACGATGGTAGGCCGCCTGGGGAACTCTGGCGGGCGGCCCGGCGGGCAGTAAAACGGCCCGGGAAGCCTTTGGGGGTCGGCCCGGCGGACTGGCAAACGGCCGGGGAGCCTCCGGGGGTCGGCCCGGCGGACAGGCAAACGGCCGGCTCCGGAGTGCCGACTGCAGGGCACTGAACGTCTGGGATGGCCGCCTGGGAAACACGGGAAACCTCCAGGGTCGGCGGCGGCTCGGGGACACGGAACACCTCCGGAGTAGTCGTCGGCGGCTCGGGGACACGGAACACCTCCGGAGTAGGCGGCGGCGGCGGCTCGGAGACACGGAACACCTCCGCAGTCGGCGGCGGCTCGTGGACACGGAACACCTCCGGAGTGGCCGGCGGCGGCGGCTGAGGGACACGGAACACCTACGGAGTCTCCGGCTCAGCCCCCCCCTCAAGGGCCGGATCCCAGACGGCCCCCAAGCCACCAAAGGGAGGGTGGGAGAGGACCACGGGATGGGAGGGAGGGAGCCTGAGTCCGGGAGCAAGTCTCGGGGCCGGTACAGGCCGAGTCGGGGCCATGAGTCTCGGGCCCGGTACGGGCCGAGTCGGGGCCATGAGTCGTGGGGCCGGCACCGGGGTCAGGGACTTGGAACGTGGGGCCGGTACTGGTCGGGTCGGGGGCATGGAACGTGGGGCCGGTACTGGTCGGGTCGGGGGCATGGATCGTGGGGCAGAACAGAACATACAGCACTGTGCTGTGGAATTCCTCGATGTGTCAAACAGAAGGGGAATGATTGGCAAACGGACCACTTTACACACTGCCAGGAATACAGTGTGACCAAAATGAGTGACTGTCACGCTGAATGCTTGACATGTGAGAGCCCTGACAGTGTGCCAATATTGTGTCAAAATATGCTAAATCGACGTAACCTTGCACGGGACCACTACATTGTCCCGTTATGAAGGGAGGAACGAAACCAGCCTCCAGCAGCTCTGCTGCTGTTTACTGCAGCTAACTAAGAAGCCTCTAATGCATTTATTTACAAATTACAAATTGTGAGTGTGTGCGTCTGTGAGTGTAGTATAGAGCAGTGTTTTTCAACTTTTTTGCGTCAAGGCACACCCACAACCGGAAATTATATGAAAATCAATCCCAAACATTGTTTCAGCATGAGCATAATATACTCTAAGAAATCAGGGAAATGCGTGTTCTATTTGTTGTGTTTTATTAAACTTAACATCATCCTAATGCCAAGATGGCACAGGCTTAATGCCCAGGTATCTCTTAAGCCTAGTTTATGCTTCTGCGTTTTCAGAGCGACGCAGACGCAAGACCCCCTTGCGTGTCCCTTGCGTCGCTTTTCACACCTCCTTGCATCCTTGCGTGTGTCGAGCCATTTTTCTAGGCTTGCGTCGACGCAAGCCTCCCGCAGCGCACCAGCCTGCGATTGGTCTGCTAACTACATCCTTTACGGAGTCTCACATTTCCGCTTTCATAGCCAGATACCGCCATTATTGAAACGAAGAATGTTTACGAGAGAACGGATGGGATTTAAGAACTTTTGTCGGAAGAAATGTGTAAATATGACCGCTTATACAAGCCGTCATTGGCGGGTTGTAGAAGCGGGTTGGATTCACGGAGGCTGATCGCCGCAAACGCCGGTTTGCTAGTCGAGAGGTGCACAAAGTTGTGGAGGAAAATACGGGACAAATGTGTCCGCAATGAAAAGTGGCGATGCACGGGGCAATGAAGTATATGATAAATAAACAAACAAATAAATAGACGTGACTCTCTAGGTCGTCTTCAACAAAAACACGTTACTCCGCCTGTTGTTCTGGAGGTGAATTGCTCTGCAACACATGCAGAACCATGAATTGAAACGAGTGCGTCGACGCAACGACGCAGACGCAAACGGCAGCCTTAAATCTCACTTTTTAAAATTGTCGCCTCAGCAAATCTGCCTATTAATTACGCTGCGTACCGCCACCCACAGGCAGAGGGGAGTATTGAACCTTCATACCACCAACAGCGCGATGACACGCACACACACAAACACACAAGTTGGCTCTTTTTTTTTCACCAATAAAGTGACAGTATGTAAAAAATGATTTTTTTTCACGGCACACCTGACAGCCTCTCGCGGCACACTGGTTGAAAAACACTGGTATAGAGAGCAATTTCTGATGTTAAAACAAATCCTAATCCGATTCATCGATTAATCAAAGAAAAATCGACCGATTAATCAATTATCAAATAATCATTAGTTGCAGCCCTAATGATATGATATGAATGAATGATAATAGTTGTCCCAAACAAGTACAGTTTTGATAATGTAGACACTGACTTTGCATAAAAATTGAGTTTTGCATAGAAATGATGTTTATGGGTGGACACAGACACAAAGGCATTACCTGCAACCAGTATTTTAGCCCTTTTTTAAATTTCTGCATGCAGCTAAAATTATTCACTCGAGGTTTTCTAGCAAATGATCACACACGTACAGTAAAATGTATGGACCATAGTCAGTCGAATGCAGTGCTACCGCCACTCTAGATGAAATTTAAGCCAGATTATTATTATTAAATTCCAGCAGTCTGCCACAGCAGCTAGCCAGCAAGATAGAGAGCATGGGAATCAAATTAATTTCGCTGAGCTGACGTTCTCGTCCTTCACATGCTTCCCGTGCTCTCTCATCCTAGTGGTTCCGCCCGTAGAGGAGAGAGAGAGGCTGAGAGAGAGCGAGAGAGACCGAACTGATCAGAAGAGACTGAGGCGGAATGAGAGGGAGAGAAGCTAAGGAATGATTTTGGGTTGTTGGAGGAGGCCAGTCAAGCAGTTATGCGTTTTTAGTGTGTGTTTGTGTATGCATGTTTGGGCTGATGACGCACACTTTGAGATGGCGTTAGGAATCTCGATCACCGTTAGTGCTGTGGAGAAGGCATCCCAATCCTCTCAAAGGGCCAACATGGTGTAGCATTGGTCCGCCGTGGCTCCTCTTCCTCGTCAGTGTGTGTGAGTGTTTTTGTGTGTGTGCGCGAACGTTTTTGTGTCTTCTTTTCTTCATTTCCACCCCCTCTTATTTTTATTCTTCAGCAACACCTACCTTTTTTTAATTATCTTTACTCCTTGCTTCCTCAAACTGGTGGGGTTTTTTGCCTTCATCTTCCTATCTTTTTTCCCTTTAGTGGTGATAAAGTTGGGCATACGTTGAGAGCTTCTTTTTTGTCCAGCCAGCATGGATTGTCTTTGCATTGTCACCACTAAGGTAAGAAACCCAGCTGGATTGAATAATTCACAGGACCAGAGAAGAGAGGAAATGGAGACACTGACTGTGATTGTGGGAGAATAAGGGATCCAGTGGAACAGGAGCAGACAAAACTTTTCTCCCAATGTTTGCACTTGTAATCACGTTTTTGTCAGTGCTTGTCTTCGTTCCCTTGTCACTTTGAGCCTTGATGTGAAGAGTTGAATGGATGATTCATTAATGTTGGTATAGGATGCTTCCAAGTTGTATGTAGTGTGAGTTTGACATTGAGTGATTTTATGTGTGTGAGAGAATGAGCCATTACCCCCTAACTACAGTATGCATGTCATAATCCGGCAGCCTGTCAGCCAGCCAGCTTGCTGCTGCAACTCACGAGCACTTGGTATTCTCCCAACAATGTTTTGCATTATTAGAATAGACAAATAATTATGGAAGCTGCAGAACTGAATTATATAATATCACGAAATATAAACTTTTTGGACTACACTGAGCCAAAAATTAACAACTTATTAAAATAATTATAAATGGAATTATTATAGAAATATTAAATTGTCTTATCAACTAAAAATGTTGATACACCCCCGCAGTACCTCCGCAGATCCCCTGGGGGGAAGACCTAGGCTTTAGTTAATGAAGAAATAAGCGAGATATTGCAGTCAGCCTCAGCGCAAAGCATATTAACTCACTAAAACACTTAAGAAAGTTCATAAGTATAGTAAGCTCTAAACATCGGCAAGTTATTTTTAGCATGTTAGCCTACTGACAGTAGCATCCTCTCTCTAATTTATGCTTATGAACTGTGAGAAAAGCAGTAACAGTATAGTATGATACATTCGCCTGTGGGAAGAGTTGAAGTGTTGTAAAATGAAATGGAGGTGATTTCTAGTTTGGATGGTGATTTCCTTTTAAACTTACTCAGAATAACTGCATTGAAGCCATCTCCCTCTCTTATTTAACCATTACATGGCAGGGGTCGTGTGTGTGCACGTGCGTGTGCATGTGTTATTTGACAATGGCCAATTTGACAGTGTGATGACTGAGTTGACATAACAACAAGATAACTATTCTGTAACTGTATTCAGCTCTCCATAATGAATGTGCGCTGCATGATCATATGTAAATGATCAAATGTAATGCTGAAGATGCACGTTAAGTAGTGTGATACCACGCCATTATTGATTTTTTTTAATCTTGGTTCAAGATAAAGATTTTGATCAAGATTAAAATAAGTTCAACAAATGCTCTTTAAAGATGGTTGTGTGGTGGCCTCCTCTCTCCGTAGGGGTGCACGGCCAGCTGATTAGGAGCGCGGTCGGGTAGTATCAGACGTGGGTGTCGTTACCGTAAACCAATCGCATTGGTGCAGGCAAACGTTAAAAACTGTTCTCCTCTCTTTTGCTGTCAGTTGTCATTTCAGCACGCTCCAAAGGTGAAGCGTAGCGTAGCGTTCAGTTAGCGGGTCCTACACCACAGTGTTACATTACATGTCATTTAGCTGACGCTTTTATCCAAAGCGACGTACAATAAGTGCATTCAACCATACTGGTTCCGAGGGTCCGATTGGACGTCGATCGATTGTGGAGGAACTAGCTCAACAAACCGAGGCGCCGCCAAGCAGCAGCCAAGCAGCAGGCGACCAGCCGGCGTGGTAGCACGCGTGTACAAGGCAGCAAGTGGTGTAAGCAACAAGCTTCCCTCTGTCCAGGTGTGAGTGGGTGAGGCTCACAGCTGGCAGAGAGCGAGTCGATCCCGCACCAGCACGGGGAAGGACGAGAGAAGCGCAAGCAGCCCATTATGTTACATGTATCATCATTCAGCGGAAGCTTGTATCCTAAGGGACAATACGTGCATTCATCAGAGGGTACAGAACCACAACCACAATAAGCAAGGACAAATGAATGTTTTATTAAGAGCCTGTAAGCAAACACTCGGCATGTGGTTAAGAGGTTACCGTTCGCGCTGTGAGGGAGCGACAAGCACACTACGTCTAACCGGGAGAGCACTGCACCCGGACGTGTTCTCCCCCAGATACTCCGGGCCATCGAGAACGGACATCGGCGTCATCTCCACGCTGGGAAACGCGCAGATATTCCGTCCACAGCAAGCAGCAGCGTAGGCCTCAACACTCAGCATGGCAAGCGTCACTCCACAGCCACGCAGATTGAAGCGGCTCTGCATTTCACAGGCATTCGCAGTCCCCAATCGCGGGCATGCAGATACTAAACGGCTCAGGTGAAGCTCCGCGACACAAGCTACCAGCTACCGGCCTCCATGTGAGGCTAGCGCGGCGTCGGAATGCGACGTAGCAGCTCCACGGTTGAGAACGCAGCTCTGGCGTCTACGAGACGTTCGTTGCGCGGTGTAATGTAATGTATAATGTTGTTTACTCTGAGAGGTGGCATGAGTCAACGGTAGACTCCTTCAGGAGTGAGTAGCGATTTCAGCGCGAACTACGGGAGTAATAGTTTTACCAGAGAGGAGTAAGGAAGCGCGAAGCAGAGAAGCGCTACAGAGGTGGACGTTGACCTACGTATTAATGATACTTCGGGTAGTTTGAACTTCTAATTTTCCGGGCTAGAAGGATCCACTGCGGGTGCTTGGGTGAGGATAAAGTGCTGCTCGGTTGCCTTATTGCTTTTATAATACGGTGCCAGCGAATTTATACATAGTAAATAAATAGCGGCAGCACGATCATATTTCGGTAGCCTTTAGGAATGGTCCCGGTACTTGCAGGTAACCAAGGCACTGGACATCGAGGCTCGCCTGCGACATCTGGTTTTCTACGAGCCCGTTCGAGCACGGGAACCAGCATCGCAGCCACGGGGCTTCACGCGACAACCTCTGTATGACAAGTCAACCCTCCACATCCACGCAGAGCGAAGGAGCGCGGCATCGGCAGTGCCGGGTCTTCCACGGGGTAGGCCTTCCACACAAGCAGCTAACACTTCGACACGATGCGAAACGGAGCTGTTCACGACTTCTTCCAAAGGCTAAGCTGCTGAGGAAGGTGTGCAGCTGCTAGCTGGACATGCCGTCTTATTTGTCCCAACCTCCTCAACTAAAGCTGGGGACAGGAGCCGTACTGACAGAGCGTTGGATGGCAGTGGGTTCAATGGGATAGTGTAATGGCTCCAACAGCGGCTTTCGGGTGCAGCAATGTTGAGACAGATGCAGGCCATCTGTGTGTTTTGGCGGGTTCCATCAAGCCACGGCAGGCCAGACCATGGCTCCCCTTTTTCAGTTGATTCCATTTGGTGTGACAATCAAACTGGGTCGTTAATATGCGTGGTAACTAATATGCGTCAACTACGGGTAAAAGGCTTTGCCTTACTGGCTGTACCACTTAAGGAAGTTAGCCCCAACAGTACTCAGGGAATAATTTTAGGGGCAGCTACTGCAACCACAAACCAAGGTATCTCCTATTCATCCCTGCCACCAATGGGAAGTTGGGCTGCTGCAACCCCCACATTCACCAACTTGAAGGATGATGAGTTCGATTCAGGAAAGCCTTAAAAGGTCGGTAAGTCATGCATTTATTGATGTCATAATTCACATAGCCTCTTGTACATCGGCATTTCTTTTGCCCGGTGGCCGTGGTACCTAGTATCTTTCATGCAATGTTTGTTTCAGCCCTAAGTAGTCTGCACCGTTTATTCAAGGGGATCTTCGCTTGTGGCCCTAAACGTCCTTGCATGGCAGTGATACTCATAATCTGGCCTCACCTGGCCCGTTTGCAGTTCTGAAGAAGGAGGTCCGTCAGTTGACCTGCCAACCTGGGATCAAGTTAGGTTTGAGGTTTGTGGTCTTATGTGACCAGTCCAGCTGACTTCATGGAGATGTTGCAGGCTAACCAGACCAGTCAAGCTAACACCGCGTTTTCTAGCCTAACGCAACCTTTTAGCGGACTCCAGTCACGCCTCATGGATAGGGGGAAGCAAGAGTCGTCATGTTTCTTAAAACTGGGGTCATGAACAGAGTGGTGATCTACTTGGCTACGGCAGCCGCTATCTGCTTTGCTGCTGTTCTGCATGTTACTGCCCTATCTTCGCAGGTTGAGTTTGATGTTACCTTCCTGAGTTCTCTGAACACTCACCCTAGCTTCACATCACCGTGGCAGGTTGTTAACTGTCTCTGCAATTCTGGTCTCCAGACGTCCTACGGCAGGCCATGCTGCTCCAGACGTGGCGCGTACTCCAAGCTCTAATAGAGGCGGTCCTACACACTGGTGCCATGTTTTGACGTAGGCGACCTTGGGTCCAGCTGATAATGCGGTCTACTGCTGAACCCTTTTCTATCTCAGTAATATTCAGGGCTGCTGTCAGGAGGAGGAGGGGGTGGGCCTAAGGGGGGGGAGTGAGCAGCGTCACAGCTGGGATGGATTTGTGGAGGTGGAGCACGTCTTCGTAGAGGTGGGGGGGCAGATCGGCGTAAGATGGCGTCACCGCTGAGATGAGCTGGTGCAGGTGGACGCTGGGGGGGAGGGCGCTGATGTCGATCTAAGGGAGTAAAAATAGGAGTAGGGCGGGGGGTAACTCTTGGAACTCCAAGGGGGAGGAGGGGGGAGAAAGGTTTACTGAAGGGAGGGGGAAAGAGGGAGACGTGGACCTGGATGGGGGCTCTGGGGGGGTGGGAGAGGGATCCTCACACGTAATGGAAGGAGGGTTAGAGGGCGATGGCAATGGCGGTCCTCCTTCGCCGTTTCTGATAAGCTGTGTTTTCTCTTCCTTCTTTGTGGGCTCCTCTTCTTGTCTTGTGTCCTTGGCAGTGGGGACAGATGGATGACGCATGATGTAAAACATGTTGGTAATGAAAAGCTTTGCTCCCATCTTATTTAGGCAAAGTCCATTTGTCTTAAAAAGATGCCTGCGGTCCCAGAAAAAGCTAAAATTGTTGATACAATGCATTGAATGAACTGCACATGCAGTTAAGAGCCATTTGTTGAGCCAAAACAGTCTACTGAATCTCTCAGCTCCTCTCCCGGTCGGGGGCAGAGGACCACTGATAAACACCTCAGCATTCACAGAGCTGACTGTTTCTAGGAGATTATCGAAGTGCTCTTTCAACTTTTATGATTGTTGTTTTTCAATGTCATTAGAGCCAATGTGCAGAATTAGGTTTTTCACAGTTGGGTGTTCAGCCACAATTTCCAAAATTCTTTCTTCCGAGTCAGACACCATATCCTCCGGGAAGCAGAGTACTTTGGTGTCGTTACTACTTTTCATATCTTTTACAGAAAAATCACCCACAATCAGATTTTCAGGCCCTGTCGTTAGCTTTCTCTGTGGCTTTAAGTTAGCAGGTTTTACTCTGCTGCGTGGTGGTGGAGGGTTATCCAGAAATAGAATTAGAGGGGGATCCATGGTGCTGCAACAGTGGAGCAAACCTGTTTTGTAGATTTACACCTGTTTGCTGGGGAGGTTTCTTGGTAGTTCCCCTCTTCTCAGTTGTCCGCTGCTTTGTTCTACGAAGCACGGGGGTTGAGGAGGCGTTATGCCTGGATGGTAACGCAGGCCAGTCGGCCAGATCACAGCTATCGGGCCGCTGGGTCCTGCCAGTTATCCGTTCTCCCTTGTCTGGTCTTCTCTTTGGCTTTGCACCAAGTGTGGTCCAGGGAGGATTGTCGCTGGTATATTTATTACCCTGTACAGAGTCCTCCAGTTTCTTCATAGTTCCATCATTGCTAGTTAGCTGGGTTCTAGCATGCTCTTGTCCACTGTTTTGAGTCATTGCTAGAGTGGTGTTGTTCCCACATGGTCCATTTACTTCTACATTTACCTCTAACCGATTAACTTTTGTTTCCAGCAGTAAAATCTTCTGTACGAGTTTGTGGTAATCTTCCGTAGAGAAGGGAGGCATCTTCTGCTAATTACCTTTAGCACAGGCTCAGGCTTATCTTGTTTGGTAGGCCTCCTCGCGTAGCGTAGCGGAAGTCGTAAAAATATTGAAAAATGCCTGTTTTATCTAAAAGAAAATATAATCCCACTGGTTTTGCAAGTATCCAGGAGCTCCTGCTGGTCTCGGTGCGAGAGAAGAGAAGAAGACAGTGAGAAAATATATTTCTTACAAGAAATAGATAAATTACGGTTTGCGCTGATATATACATATACAGTATTTCAATGTGATAGAAACAGAAGATGACCTATTTTTAACCAACGGTCTTTTACCATTGCGATTTAACGGTTTATTACCGTAAACTCTGCTTTCCACGGTGCGTCACTACAGGCACCTTATTTACTGCTCAGAGAGCTTCCACGTCTCCACAGGGTGTGTTACGGCTGCCCTTTCCTCCCGTAACTGCAGGGCGAATGATATTGCTGCACATAGGCAATTGGCTAAGTGCGCCCCGCCTGGCAGCACAGGGCACTGCTTACCTCCTCTCACGTGGCTCGGTGGGGCCTCAAGGTGAACACAAGGTGGAACCACCCTAGCCCTTCTCAGAGCACTACCACCGTTAGGGTGGCTCTGTGTGGCTGTCCGTCGCCCCAGCGCATGTGGACAACTTCACCACAGCCTCTCCCCTTCTAAGAGGTAGATGGTTGCCTTACATCTTTTTCCGCCTATAGGGCGACTGACAGCGGGCGGATTCAGGCTGCAGAGCCTTAACTTGTATGCCCAGTCACGGAACAATAGTAGCATCAAAACACTACCTTATCGCCAGGGAGCCCCTGTGGCATTTTCCCTGTCAGAGCAGATACCTGCCTCTGAAAGCAGCGCGCAGGGGTGTAGAACAGGACACTGCTCTGGACCACAGGAGCCTGCCAATGTTCAAGAGCTAGCGCTCAAGCATTTCCCACTATACAGTGAGGGAAAGCAGGTGTTTGCCCGGTTGGACAACACCTCTTCTGTGTTGACGACAATATCAGGGGGGAAACTGATTACGCTTACTTTGTCAGCCTTTGGGCAATAACCCAGCCAGAAGTGGCTACTTCTCCACCGGTTCTCCCTGACAGAGGGGACCACCGCTCTGGGTCAAGATGCTCTGGCTCAAGATGCTCTGGCTCACACGTGGCCAGAGAATCCTCTTCAGGCCTTTGCCTCTGATCTGGTCCTTACGACGAGAGCAACCTCTTGTTGCAACCGAAGGACCGGGTTTGGCATCCCAATCCCTAACGCCTTCAACTATGAACTTGGCCACAAGAAGACCCGATTGGGCGCTAGGCGGTTGAAAAAATCGGTCAAACCGACTTCTGAATCCCAGGGCGCGATGTACCTGCCCGAAAGGCGAAAAAGCAGATAGAAACTGTTTTCTGACCGGTGTGCCGTTCTCAACAGGACCCCGGTACAAGGCCCTGTGCCTGCTGTACTTGGGTTTCCACAAGTCCCTCCTCTATAAGGGGCAGTCTGCCTATTCCATTGGATTATAGACGGCTCCATTTCGGGACAGCTTACTGAGGTCGACATCACACAGTAGGGAGCCACAGACTAACGTCCCTCTGTCAAAAAAAATCATGTCCTGCGAGCGGCCAATAAGCCACTGCAAGAGACGTACCCTTGGCACTGGAGACCCTCGACTTGCCTTTTGAACCCCCGACACAGGTGGAGCCGAGATGGCTAGTGGCCAAAAGGACCTCAAGTGGCTCCATCACAAAGAAGGCTCTGCAGAGGTTGTTCTTCCTGAGGCAGCTGAAGGAATTCAACCTGCCAAAGACGATGATGGTCCACTTCTACATGGCATCATCGAGTCCATCCTCTGCTCCTCCATCACCGTCTGGTACGCTGCAGCCACAGCCAAGGACAAGGGCAGGCTGCAGCGTGTCATCCGCTCTGCAGAGAGGGTGATCGGCTGCAAATCCCTGCAGGACTTGTTCGCTTCCAGGTCTCTGAAGCAAGCTAAAAAGATCGTAGCCGACCCCTCTCACCCCGGACAAAAACTGTTTGTGCCCCTTCCATCTGGCAGGAGGCTGAAGTCCATTAGGACTAAGACCTCCCGCCACACGAACAGTTTCTTCCCGTCGGCAGTCGGGCTCATCAACAGAGCCCGGTCCCCCACTGACTGACTATAACATTCCACCGGTCACTCCCCTTCATACTGCACATGTCCCTTTAACTGTAATTCTTCACTTTGTCGTCACTTGTTCGCTAGTGCACTTTATGCTTAATATTCTTTTCACTCATTTTAAATGTTTTACTTTAACTTTATTCTCTTGTTTTATACTAACCCATAGCCTTATTCTACTAACCCATTGCATTAGCATTTCACTTTATTTTATTACTTGTGCACTGCTGTCTTGTTGTCTATTGTTACACTGTCACGCACCAACCGCCAAGACAAATTCCTTGTATGTTTGACATATTTTGGCAATGAATGATTCCTGATTCCTGATCCAGTGAAGCACTGCGGTCAGTAAGGATGAAATAGAACGAAAGTTACGTATATAACTACAGTTCTATGAATCCTGGATTCACTAAGATGAGTTCTTAGTCACTCGGAATCCCGTGAACTCGCGAGAAGATTCTGTAGGACTGACCTCAGGATGACACCGGTACTTATACGTGAACCACATCGGCAGTGTTAGTCTG